CCCCTAGCTGCCCTTCAGGTCTGGAATTGAACCCACACCTGTGGTTTCCAGCCAAACAGTGTACAGCCATGTGAATTAAACATTTACCTCAAGTAGACACATGCCCTGGAGAGAACAATCATGGGAGAAGTAAAGGCTGCTTATGCACAGGGAGACAGCTCAGGTGGTAGGAGAGTATGGAGGGATGGACACTGGGAAGAGGATAACTATGGGGAGGAAGTGAGAGGGGAGCTGCTGCATTGTGGTAAACTGTGGTCAATGACATGCGACAATGTATATGTGAACTGCTGTATGGAAAGTGAATTTTCTCTGTAAATCTTCACCCAAATCAAAATAAAATAAAATAATAATAATAAAAAAGGATTACAGCCTTGGAAACCCTAAGGGGCAATTCTACTCTGTCCTATAGGGTCACTATGAGTTGGAATCAGCTTGTTGACAATGGGAGTTTATACAGCTTATATGCAGCCATAAGGCTCTGGTGTTACTATCGTGCTAAACCGGTTTCACTGGAGCTTCCAGATTAAGAAAAACTAAGAAGAAATGTCTGGCTATTGACTTCTGAAAATCAGCCAGTGAAAACCCCTATGTCACAATGGTCTGATCTGCACCTGATCATGGGATGGAGTAGGACAGGGTGGCAGCTTCTTCCATTGTGCGTGAGGTCAGCACAATTTGGAGGGGGGCTGAACTTGATGGCAGGCAGGAACACTGATCTTGTTTGCCTGTCCCACAGATTTTCCTTGCCTGCAATGCCCTTTCCTATTTAAGCTTCAAATATCTTTAAAGACCCAAGTTAAATGCTTACTTTCTCCTCAGTGTCTTTTCAGATCTTTCTAGTTCCCAGTGATTTGCCCACCTATTTTGCAGGACTGCCAAGTTTGGTTGGGATTTTGTGTCTTTCACAAAGTCACCTTGCCCAGGGAGTATGTTGGAGTTGAGATCCAACTCAAGTTCTATGCTCACTCAGCCATGCCTCTGCAGGCCTCCACTCATCAAAAGGGGTCACCTTTTTCTTTAGGGAGGGGAAGAATGCTTTTATTTCAGAAAATTTCAAAATTATATAAAAGTAGAGAGAATAGTATAATGAATAATGAATTTCCATGTACACATCTGAGTGCCTTTTTCAAACAGCTACAAAAATGCTATATTTTTCTGTCCTGGCAAGAAACAGATGCATATTCAAAGGGGAAATGAAGAAACTTTAAAGAAGGAATGATAAAAGGAGGGGAAATATATGGATAAATAAGAGAATTAAAGCCAGGGATTTTATATATATT